CCATGTCCCACTGACGCGCATCAGGATCTTCTGGCGCTCTATCAGACCACGTCCCACTGAAGAGCATCAGGATCTTCTGGCGCTGTACCAGACCATGTCCCACTGATGCGCATCAGGATCTTCTGGTGCTCTATCAGACCACGTCCCACTGAAGCGCATCAGGATCTTCTGGCGCTCTATCAGACCACGTCCCACTGACGCGCATCAGGATCTTCCGGCGCTCTATCAGACCACGTCCCACTGATGCGCATCAGGATCTTCCGGGGCTCTACCAAACCACGTCCCATTGAAGCGCATCAGGATCTTCCGGCGCTCTACCAAACCACGTCCCACTGATGCGCATCAGGATCTTCTCCGGCCACTGTCTTAGCAGTAACTCATCGGGCCCTTCTGACTTACCTTAGTTTGGAAGATCTGCTGAAACCAATCCATTTGAAATGCCAGTGGTATATCTGCCAGGCATCGAAGCAACATGCAAGCCATTACAATATGACAAATGGATGGACAGAGGCATAGAACTACTGAGATGAGTTGAAAATAATGTTTTAGGCAAAATATTGCAACAACTAGATGGACTGAATGATTCCCAGGAGATCATGAGATACTGATGACTAAATCTGACTCATTAGGGAGAAAAAAGTTGAAAACCCCAAGAACAATTAAGATCCGCCCCCCTTCTCATCAACATGGGTATTTTTCAATAGGAGAAAAACAGAAAACATTCTGGAAGGTTCTGCCTGGCAGCTGCGCTGGACAGAGGGGCCTCAGTGTGATGCCGAGCCCCTCACCAAGCAGCTGTATGGTGCTCACCCTCATCTGGAGAAAACTGCGGGGACACACAGTTTCCTCTCAGCTCCCAAAGCACTGCGTTCATTTCTGCCAAATCTTAGACATCACATGACCTGAAAGAGTCTTTCCCAAGATTCTCAATTCAGAAAGTCTGGAAAACCTTGTGCTAAACTGATTTTGTTTTCTTTACTATCAAAAAATGTAATTTCCCTCTCTTTCAGCTGGAATCTGGCTTAACTCCCACAGAGAAAATTCCTCAGTTTTTTCATCTGTGGGGGCACAGGGACTCAGAGCTCTGCTGGTCAAGCAAAACCAACTGGAGCACAAGCCACGCCCAGGCCTCAGGACAAGAAGACCAGTCAGTAAGCAGAGAAGCTTCAATTACTCCTCTGTGACCCTCTCCCTAACTCTTACAGATTGTGCGGCCCATGTTGAAAATCAAAATTATCTTCTCTAGGTCAGATTTAACCTCATAACTGTTTAGAACAGCCCAGTGGCTGGGAAAAAAAAAGACAAAGTAAAAAGGCAAGTGACAAACAAGGAAATATTACTTGCAGTGTAGAAAACAAAGAGTTTGTTTCCTTCGTCTATGAAGAGCGCTTATAAACCAATATGGTGTTGGTGAAGAACACTGAGTATACCACAGAATGGCGGAAGCATCAACAGATCTTTCTTGAGGAAGACACCACGCTCGTTGGAAGTAAAGATGGCAAGACTCTCTTATGTACTCTGGACAGGTTCTCAGGATAGGGTCTCGTCCCTGTTGGGAAATAGGCTCGGCAAAGCCTATGGCCAGCATAAGGGAGGAAGAGTCTCGGGGAGATGGGCTGATTCAGTGGCTGCAGCAATGGGCTCCAGCAGCAGCACCGTGAGCGTGACAATGGCCGAGTATTTGTACGATGATGATACGGAGGGAGGCAGGATCAACTCCCTGGCACCTAGCAACAATAACTACATAAATCAACAAGGCATGGTCGAACTCATTAACAAAATTTTTAAAACAAAAATGCAGACGACATAAACAAGCCTTTCACAAATTAAGTAGAAACAGCTAAAAAGTACATGAAAAATATGTGTGTTTGCTATCATGAGTGTAGGGGCTAAGCTGAAGCAGATCGGAGCCCCGCTTCCCTGCATGTCCCCAGAGGTCAGCAGCGGCCCCCCTGAAATGAGGAGACCGGAAAACGATGCCCAGACTGCCTGACTGCCTGCCTGCCAGAGCTGATAAACAACACCTGGGCCATAAACCTTGCTGCTGCAGCACGGACCTCCTCTCCCTGCGTTCCTTTAAAAACCCCAGACCCCGGACAAAGCCCGCGATCCCCCTGGGCTACTTGGTACAGCTATTTCTGTTTCTGCTCTCCCTGGGTCCTTTGAGTTATCTTTGTCCGTCTCCCTGCGCCTCAGTTTACCTCTCACTCGTCCTGTGCCTCAGTTCGTCTTTACCATGAGTAGTCCAAGAAATGGCTGTTAAACCACCCGGTCCTCTTTCTTAGCCTCCAGCTGGCAAACATGGATACACAGAACACACCCACCCTGGAGATGTGAGGGAACAGGTCCCCCTGGCCTCTGCCCCGCATGAGCGTGCGCACCCTGCTCTTCTCAGCGAACAACGCCACGGAGCTGCAGGCTCCACAAGTCCACTCCCCCACGATCAGGAAGACCCTTTCTCTAACCAAACCTTAAAGATGCGTGGAGTTCTCGAGAGACATTACTCCCCTAAGAAATGCCTGGGAGAAGCAAAATAGGCCAGCAAACCCCACCTCTCACCAGATAAGAATACTCTCTTGGATATCTTTCCAACTCATCACGTTTGAGGATCACAGTGAAAACAGAGAGACGGCAAAGACCTGGCAGGTCCCAACTCTGGGTGTGTAGCTGTATGTGTGTGTGTGTGGGGGGGGGGAGGTGTCCAAAGGCCCGGCCAAAGGTGAAAGGTGGGCTTCCAGAACCCTGAGACAGCAGAACTTGGGAAACTATAAACAAGCACCACTTGTCTAGGATTATTCACTCACCTTCTCTGGGGGACAGAAGTGTGGCCCTCTCGCACACAGAGAACCCTGTGTTAGATGGCTGTCACTCTAGCGGAGGGGGCGGGCTGTGTGAGGCAGCTCTGGCTGGAGGCCCGTGTGCGGGCTCGTCAGTGCGGGAACTGAGCCTCCAAAGACTTTAAGGGGCGGTCATAGGGATCGCAGCTGCCCGAGAGCTCACCCGGCTTCCTGGCACCAGCCGTCCCCCCTGTGTGCAAAGAGGCGGTGCCCCAAGGAGACACAGGGCCGACGGACTGAGGGACTGCCCTCCCCTGGTGAAGCTCGGCACGCACTCTTCCAGCACATGCCACTCTGACTGCAGGCTCTGTGAGTGGGCAGTGGTCTGCTGCTTTTACAATACAGGTTTTGCATTAGGAAAACATTACAAAAGCTCTTCCTCATGATACTAGAGATCACCCTGTTGGATGTTGATTCAAGTTCATGCACTCTACAAACCCCGTCATCCTTCACCTGATGTTGCTTAACAAGCATGTCGCAAGTGACGGCTTTGACAAATAAACATTGAAGTCCTCGCCATTCAGGAGGAAAATCGGATGTGTGCCTATTAATGGCATCCAAACCGAACCAGTGCGGTACTGATAATAAATAAGAGTGTGCACTAGAAAAGTAGTCAGTGCTGCCAAAGCACCTGGAGGGCTTCGTAAGAGATTTCTTTTTTTCGTTAGGCAACAGATTCATGGGTTAAACAAGGCTTCTGAACTACTGGTCTGAGCATTTTCGGATATTGGGTAATATGTATCTATTCAGATGGCTCCACTTTTTGCTGACTAGAGTCGTAAAAGCCTGAAAGCAGCCATTTAAGGAGCAACAAAGGTCTCTTCCAATTATTACAACCCTCCCCCTACCACCGCCACGCTGGAAAAAGTAGCTCAAGAGACAGTAACCGACATGTCAGAGTAATGGATAAACAAGCACCCATGAGTGTCAGACCGGAAAAGGCTAGATGGTGTCTGACCCACCCTGCGGTCACCCAAGGCTCTAATCAAGTCCTGATTCAAGGAGGTGAAGTACTAAAAAAAGACAAGTTCTGCATTACGAAAACATAAAGAATTCTCATACCCACGACACTAAAGGTCACCTGTTAGACGTTCTTAAAAATCTGTGCATTCCAACAAATATTTGCTTAGCTGTGCTGCAAAATAATCCTTAAAGGCAGCTTATTTGTTCCATTTAATTCTTTCTCGGTGACTAGGCCCACTGAAACCAGAAAGGCTGGTTTCATTATTTATTAACAACTTTTCACTGAAAACAGTCAGAAAACAGTAGCAATTTATGAGCACCGCCATCTTCAAGATTAACAAGCAGACTCCACTTTCTAAACTATGACTATCCCATTTCCTAGATGAGTGACCGTGTGCTACATTCCAACATGAACTAGACATTTTCTAAACTTCCGGAGCCCCATCACCACGACTCACTCATCTTACATGCTTGTCACCAATCAGAAATGTTGTTTCAGAGTTCCTGAGAAGTTTGTAATAAGCATGTCAAGAATCCTATCTGATGGTCAGAGTTAACAAATGGTGCCCCAGGCTGTCTGGTTTTCAATAATGGGGAGCATGCTCTTGGCACAGAACAGGAGCTCCGATGAAATCTGTCAGGCAGGGCGGGTGCTCTACAGATGCCAGGGCACGAACGATGCGGGTGCCCTGCCCATGGGAGCCAACGAGCTACTGTCACTCTACTGACATCCTATCGCCTTCGAACAAAGACCCCTGATTGAGCATCTTGCATGAGGCCCTGAGCATTCGTTCCCGCTCCCCCAGTAAGGTGAGCCAAGGTTAGACCCCTGGTTCTCTGTCGGGGTGGCCTCTCTGTACACGGACCATCACAAGAGGCCCTTTGGGGCTCAATCCTGAGGTGTCAGAGAAACTGCCTTTCCCTGGAACTGTCCTAAGAGCAAGTACCCCGGGGGGTTCCCTCCTCTAGTCCCAAAGCACCCCTACTTGAGTTATAGTTGGTCTTCACCCCTGTCCTTGGACACTCTCCCCACGCCAGTCCACCAACGCTAGTGTGATGTGCCCACTCTTGCCCCCAGAATGCCCCCTATCTCAGCCCCGGGGTATCTGCCCCTCATCCCCTTCTGCCCCCACGCTCACCCAGCCACCCAGGGCCAGGGTATTACACCCCAGCCTTGCCCACAGGCTATGTCTAGCATACCTGGAACTTGTCGGGGTCAGCCCCTCCAGCCTGACCCACAAAGAGGCCGGCACCGGGCTCCAGCTGCAGGCCCCTGGGGGCCCGCTGGAAGGGCAGCCTCTGGACCTCTTCACACTCCACGTAGAGCACCGCCTCGCCACCCTGCACGCCGAGTGCAAAGCGGACCCACTTGTCGGTGAGGGCGGGCAGGTGGAAGCTGGCTGCTGTGCGGGTGTGCCCCGTCCCTGGCTCTGTGTACAGGAGCTGGATCTGCTGGTGCCCCTTCTGCACGTGGGAGAGCTTCACGCCCACTCGGATCTCCGTCTGGCTGGCGTCTGTGATGGCAAACAGCACGCCGGCAGCTTCCGTGGTCGGCTTCAGGTGGAAGAACAGGGAGAAGTCCCGGAAGAAGGGGCTGGGCACATGGTAGCGGGCCACCTGGCCGCTGTTGGCCTCCGGGCCAAAGACGTAGGCGGGGCCGAAGCTGGGGTCCTCGATCTGGGTGATCTGTGGGGGTGGGGGCTCCCCGAGGAGCTGCAGGAGCCCCACCTCCTCCACGCTGGCACCATCTGAAAGAGGAGAGAGGAGGGTGAGGCCGCCGCACCTCAGCGGGACGTGGAGATGGGCAGTGGGGGCAGGGAAGCCAAGGCCCTGGGCACCGCGGGAGACAGGCAGGCAGGGACGCCGGACTGGTTTGCTACGGCTCCCTCTGTGCTGAAGAGCATCACGGGCACCTACACGGGCACCTACCCGGCTGTGCCAGGCCCGGAAGAACTGAAAGGCCACAGGGACCCGCAGTGAAGACAAGGTCCCAGCTGGTGCAGAGGGGAGGGTGGGAAGGGGCCACATAGACACAGCTTCCAGGTAACACCTTCCCCTTCAGAGCACTCCCAGAGGTGGACCAGGGCAAGGAGCTTGCGCACTGGACCACTCAGGGCACCCCCAGCCCGGAACCACATGGAAGCCACCACCCAATGGGAAAAAGCAGAGGAGAGGATGGCGGTGGGCCCAGCTGTCTGCAGTGCCCTCTCCATGTGGAGGCAGTCCCGAGGGAAGCCAAGTTCCTAAGTGCAAATGCGGTGGCCAGCTAGGGCAGCGGTCTTCCCCACAGGGCCCCGCACCCCTGTGGTTTCCATGCTCCGCTGACAGGGTGTCGTGTGGAATCATGGCCGGGTTGCCTGTGTGGGTTGGCTGGGTTTGATCTCTTCCGAGGGGGCTGCTGGCTGGGGGGCTGCTCCCCAGGCTCCAAGAGAGGGGACTTCTCCTGTGGGAGCACTCATCTCCTATCTGGGCACCCCTGGGATGCCACGCAAAACGGTGCAGGCCCAGGGCTATGGGTGGCACTGTGTTTCCACAAAGATACGCTGAGGCGCCAGTCCCTGTCTGTCATCAGGAAGTCAAACCAGAGTAGGGAGGATCCTAAACCTAACCCCTTCTGAGCGGAGTCCCCCCGGACGGGAGAACAGACGTAACCCAGGGAACGCTAAGTGAGGATGTAGCTTTGAGCCACGGAATTCAAGGTTGGCTGGGAGCCACCAGCCTCTCCCTCAGGGCCTCAGATCACAGACTCCCAGCCTCTTGAATGGGTAGACAAGAGGCCTCTGTTCTTTAAAGCCCTGCCTGCGGCCGCGCTCATTGAAAAAGCCCCAGGCCACTCAGATGCCTCCGAGCCAGGAGATTCCCTCTCTTCTAAGCCAGCCAGAATGCACATGCTCGGCAGGGCCCAACCTGGTGCCCAAAACAACCTCTCCTGGAGGGCTTCGCTGCTACTCTAGGACCCTCGGGATCCCACCCGGGCAGGCACATTCTCACAAGGATAGCCATGTGCCCCTGCTCTGAGGTGCTCCAACTTCCCTCTCAGGGAGGCTGGCCAGGTGCAGTTTGACATCAACCCATGGAGAAATGGCCTGGGGCAGGCTGTTCCCCTTCATGGGAACAAGGAGACATTGAAGGACACCTCTGGGAACTGGGAGACCACAGATCACTTTGTATTGACAGCCATGGTGGTGGCTGTCAGGACAAGTGCCTGGGTTCAGAAATGCTTGGTCCCCAAATGTCTGACCCAAGAGGGACAGTCTAAGGCAGCGGTTCTCAACCTGTGGGTTGCGACCCCTTTGGGGGTCAAACGACCCTTTCACAGGGGTTGCCTAGACCATCGGAAAACACATTACAATTTACATTACGATTCGTAACGGCAGCAAAATTAGTTATGAAGTAGCCACAAAATAATGTTATGGTTGGGGGGTCACCACAACATGAAGAACTGTATGAAAGGGCCGCGGCATGAGGAAGGTGGACAACCACTGGTGTAAGGGTCAGAAAACAGGACCATCCAACTCGCCTAAGTGCTAGTGACCTGGTGTCAGGACACAGTCTCTCCTGATCTAAAACATGGACATGCAGCAATTGCCCTGCAGCTAGAACGTTCCAGACTAAATGAGAATGGAGAATACGGCTACTCCCAGCACTCACGTGCCCTCTATGAGGCTCCCCGTGGTTTCCTCCGGGTGGGGGGAGCCCCAATTGCCTCAGCCCCTGTATCACCCTCTCCAGTTTGGGGTTCCATGATGAGAAGATGCCTCCCGCCCCCGACCGTGACTGAGACACCAGTCCAGCCATTCTGGGTCTGACACTGCCCTCTCTCCAGGCACTGTGGGGGAACGGCGACCCTAGCAGTCTGGGCCTTCTGTCAGCCCAGACGGTGCTGAGCACAAAATCCAACGAAACGCGGCTGCTGCTGTCACCAAGCAGCCGGTGGGGCACGGATGCCTGGAGCCCCAGCTAGCTGTCAGCACGGCCACAGCAGGTGTGCATGCCTGTGCCCAGGGGTCTGCTCACCTCTGCTCTCAGCCTGGGCAGAACCACTGCCGCCCTGGCTCCTGGGAAGTCGACAGGGATGGGGTGTGGGCACTGTGGAGCCAACCACCCCTCTCCCCAGGTTGCTGCTTCTCCCAGGGCCCCAATGCCCTACGTGAGAGGGTGGAGTTGGTGGAGACTGGGTTTGTGGTCAACCAGTCCTTGACAACCTCCCCACCACCACCAGCCCCATCTCCCCCTTGCTCCAGCAGCATGACCCACATGCACAGCTGGTGTCATCCCGAAACAGCCGGATTTGGAAGCAGATTTGAGGCAGAGGGTCTGTGAATCCACATTGCAGAAAAATCCCATTATGTCGCAATCACTCAAAAAACGAAAAGTCGCCTTAATGTAGGGACACTGGACAGCTAGGCAGACAGGGCACGAGGCCACACAGGCTTCTAACTACTACCACGGGGCTGTTCTCCTTTGAAAGCCACCCCATCCAGGGCTTACTGTCTGGACGCCCCCTAGCGTCCAGGGGATGCTCACTTGTTCCTGAGCCACGGCCCTGCCCCTCCACGGGACCACACCCCAGCATCCCTTGCCCCTGACTGCTGTGGCCACGGGTGCACACTGCACTCTTTGGACACCACCACCCTACAGATGCTGTGTACATCTGACAACATGACCGTGACTGAGATGCCAGGCCCCGCCCCTGCACCCCGGGGCAGGGCATACTCTTCCTGACACCCATTGCAGTGCTCCCCAGAGTCAGCCCGTCTCCCGCAGGCCAAGACTGCACAAAGCCTTTTCAGGCAAAATCTGACCGCACATCTCTCTGTGATTCCCTGGGGTATTCCAGAGTTCAGACACCCCAATCTGAGAGCAGGACAGAGCGATGGACCTTGCCCAGGATGGTAGAGCCCGCCTGTCTCTCACTACCTCTCCAAGTCTTACCCTTGCCCCAGACCTGGGGCAACACAAGGAAGGGTCCTGGAGACCGACCATCAATGGCTGCCTGTACTATCGTGACTGGCTCAGGTCAGTCAGTGTAGACCAAAGCCCAGGAGGGATCACCTGTGAGGTCACGGTTCCTCTCAGCCAGGGTGTCCTCTTGTGGAGGAGGCCTCCTGGCTATTTGGGCTTCGGTGGTGGGGGAGGGGGAGTTAGTGAAGGAGGTGGTAGTGGTGGTAGTGGTGGTGGAGGAGGACAGAGTTAGTGGAGGAGGTGGTGGTGGTGGTGGAGGAGGAGAGAGGAGTTAGTGTAGGTGGTGGTGGTGGTAATGGTAGAGTAGTGGTAGAATGGTGGAGTTAGTGGAGGAGGTGGTGGTGGTGGAGTTCGTGGAGGAGGAGTTAGTGGAGGAGGTGGTGGTGGTGGCAGAAGCGGGGGAGAGGCTTTGGGGCATCGGGGAGGAAGAAGGGAAGGGAGCCCGGTCAAGTATGGCTGACTGGACAGTGAGTGAGTGCTCCGGCAGGGGCCGGATTATCTCAGAGGCCAGCAACCAGGCGACCAGCACAAAGGATCAGCGGCCGTGGAGCCACGGTTTTCCTGAAGGTCCCCAGCACGGTGGCAGTGCAGTCCCGGCCCAGTGGGTGAGCATCCTGGGAACCTGTCTCCGGGACATAAAGTGAGGACATGGTGCTGGCGCAAAGTCCCCCTGCACAGAATGTACTGAGGATATGAGTTGACACGTGCCTATCTTTCAAGTTCACCAGCGCCTCCTGAGTCGGTGGGCAGGGGCAGAGGGGCTCTGAGGAACAAAGGATTTGCTGTTGTGGTGCAAATGAGAGCAGCTCACAGACATGGCGGCTCTGGGATGGGCATTTGCTCTGGAGCCAGAGCTGGCTGCATGACCACCACTCTCCCACCTCCACAGGGCCAGACCTGCCAGGTGGGGGGCGGGCTGTGGGAGCCCAGGCTGGGCCCCACCCTAGGGGTGGGGAGCCACCACAAAGGCGCAGCTGCAGGGCCAGGGACCAGGATCTCATCACATCCCGCGGAGGCCTGTGCACACTGCTACATGCCCTCCAGGCTGCACTGTGCCCCCGGCTCTCTCCTTGACAGGCTGGTGGTGTATGCCGAGTGGCTGTCGGCAGCAGCGCTCCCCAGCCTCTGCTATGGTTCTCAGCACTCCCAGTGCCGGTAGAACAATGTCTCTGGGGTTATGTGAAAACAGACACCATTGGAAGCCTTTTAGGGGAATCCGCCAGGACTCTCTCTGTTCAGAGACACCAATTCCAAGAGCCCGTGGAATAAGTTGACGACCAATCCAGACAAGGAGGGGCGGGGCGGGAATCTTTCATGTACCATTCAGTGAGAGTGGCCAAATGGGATAGTGTTTCAGCCATCCCCACGCTCAGGAAATTACACTGCAGTGAATTGTGTACAGAGCCTATGCGACACAGACCCAAACGGAAAACGACAAGCCAAGAGACTAAGCATTGTGATAAGGAGGGCCACAGAGATATGAAGAGGCGATAACAGTCCAAGATTGAAGACAGTTCCAACTTGACTGTGGGGATAATCACAGTATTAAATTGTATGATACGTGAATTACAGGTCTTGAAAATGGTTTCCTTAAAAAAAAAAAAGTAGCAACAGCAGCAATCTTATAGGGATGGGTAGAACTGCCCCTGTGGATAGTCAAGACTGTAATTGTTTAGATGAATAGAAAGCCTCCTCTGTCTCCCAAGGAGGGCCCGGAGGTTTCGAACCGCGGACCTTGCGGTTAGCAGCCTAACTCATAACCACCACACCCCCGGGGCTAGTG